GTCCTCACTCCTGAGCCGGAGTTGCCTGTCCCTTGTTCTCAGCACTAAGGGGAAGTCACTCTGTTCCTCGGCGTCTGGTGCTTCTCTCCTGTCAGCTTCTCACCTTTCACCTTCACGGGGCATGTCCGAGAAGGGCAGAGGGGCAGGTGGCACCACCGCAGGGACAGGCGAGTCTGGGCTGCTTGCTCCCCGCCTGGCCCACATTGCAGGCGCAGCTGGTATCCTGCCGCGAAGCGGGCTCTGTGTGACAGGAGCCACAGGGGACATCTGTGCCAGAGGGGCAGGCTGCAAGGGGTGGGCATGGCCACACGTCTGGGCCACTTCCTGAGGGTGTGCACAGGTGCTCCCAGGCTCTGCCCACACAGGTGGTCACAGTGCAGCATGGCTGTCATCCCAGCTTCTCAGGAGGCAGAGGCAGGGGGGTTGCAAGTTCAAGGCTAGCCTGGCCGACCTAGTGAGTCCCTGTCTCAAAATTAAAAAGAACTGCTCTTTTCCCGGCGTGATGGGCCCAAGGGCTCCCAGTAAGGGCAGCAGAAGGGCCAGGCTGAGCGCCCTCACAGTTCCTTGGCCAGCGGAGTGCCGGGGACAGTTTAGAGAGCTTCGGATGGGGTCCACAGGAGCGATGCATTCTGCTTGGCTGGGAGGGGGTGTCATGGGGCCTTCCCCAGCCAGTTAATGGGAAAGGGGTCTTCTGTCCTGTCCCAGCCAAAGTGAGATACGATGAGGAGCTTTTGAACAAGGAAACAGGCTCATCTTTACAGGTCTTGCATACAGGAGAGCAGCTTCAGTTCACAGGCCAGACTTCCTATGCCGGAATCCGTGGCGCTTAGTTCTGTGGCCGGGAGGGGATGCTCCCCATTTTGGGATTGGAGTGCGGCACTGCCGTCAGAAAGCCTGCCGAGTTCTGGGCTGTGCAGCCAAACAGAACAGGTGTATCCTTCTAGAGCTACCCTCTTGCAATCTTGAAGCTTAAGAAAAGATGTGGAGCGGACTGCTGCCTCCTGGCCAAAACGAAAGTGATACTGAGTCGAATTCTGAAGATGAGGCCACACCACAGAACTTTGATCATAACTTACAAGAAGATAAAGCGGCTGGGACCATTAAAGACACAGAAATCTCAGATTTGTCCGCAGATGGACCAAAAATCAAAACAGAGGCCAAGGCAAAGAAATGCACATGAAGAATGGCCTTCCGGAATTCCCTTAAATATGTGGAACAAATTTCAAGAATTGCATAAAAAACATTCTGAACAGAAAATACTTCAGCCTCAAGATTCAGAGTGAGAGAGAGAAAACGCTCCAGAAAAGGTAAATTGAAGAATGAAAAAGAATCTCCTAGTGAGCAGTCCTTAAATGAAACCCACTGGAAGGAGCTTATTCAGTACTTCGGAGCCAATGATAGATTTGAACCCCCTGTTCAAAGGAAAAAGGTTCAAAAGCCTGGCCTGGAGAAGAGGGCAGACCAGGCTGTGGAGGAGAGGGATGTGGAGAAGGCTGCAGAGCTCACTCACCAACCAGCTAGCTACTCGAGAGGTTGGTGTAAAAACTGCCAAAGCAATCGCCTGTCACGAGTTTGTAAAAGCCAAAAATGAGGCTGAGAACGCACAGGCTGCTCGAAAAAAGAAGAAACTCGCATGGGGGTTTGAAGCAGAGAAGAGACGGGAAACCAAAAGCAGCATGGGACACATGTAATGGGAGGATTCTTCAAGACACATGCAGACGTGTGTGCTTAACTTCCAGAAAAGAGTTTTCTGCTTAGGTTAAATATGTCAGGAAATTGAGAAAAGCAGGAAGAAGTAAGCATAAATCTTGGGAGTTGATTATCAGCTCTTTTAAGTTTTTTTCTAAGGAGTTCATTCTATTGAAGTGATGGAATGTATTTTGTTATTTATGTAAGAAACCCAAGCATACACACAGGAAAAGAAGATAGGATTTTATTTAGCTGTATAGACTTGCAGTATAAAATCAATTTTACTTTTTATCTGTTTGGTATAGCAGAGCCTGTGAGATCCTTGTACTTTCTTATCTGTTCTTGGCATAACTGCACTTTTTCTGGAATTACGTTTTTAAGATTAGCTTTTGTTTAGAATGGAGTAGTCATAAGTTCAAAAAAGCCTCAGTTGATGCTATCTTTCCAAATGACTGAAATTACCTTAATGCTATAAAAACAATTATTCTTTAAAAAAAAAAATTAAGGGCTGGGGATTTAGCTCAGTGGTTCTGCCCCCTGCCTCGCAAGCACAAGGTACCGAGTTGGATCCCCAGTACCAAAAAAAAAAAAAAATTAAAAGAACTGGGGATGTGGGTCAGCACTAGAATATTTGCCTGGTGAGAGCGAGGCCCTGGGTTCAGTCCCCAGCAGTGCAATCATCAATCAGCCAGCTGGCCAGTGAGCACGGGAGCGCTGTACAATCCGGCCCCTCAGCCTGCGCTCCAAGCTGCTTAGGGGACTGTTTGACGCCAAAGTGCTTCCTGCACTGGCCACCTCCCAGACGTTCGTAGCAGTGAAGTAACAGGCGTTTGGTGAAAACCCAGAACGAAAGGGAGAAGACTCCAACACTGTCTGGGACCTGAACTCAGATAGGTCTGCTGAGAGCACGGCGCTGCTTGGAGGCAGAAGCCTACATTGCTCGGCTCCTCCAGGATCAACGTTCGCTGCCTGCTACCTTAGAAGCCACTGCTTCCGGCACAGAAGCAAAGTCTGCTACTTCAGTGCCCGCCACAGGCCTGTTCCGTGAAAAGGAATTAGGGAGAAGAAAGGAGCCAACCACCTTTGAACGGGGCCGACCTGGGAAGCGGTGACCGAGCCCCAGGGCTCCTTGGGGTCCCACACGGTCACTGTGACGGTCAGCAGCTGCTGTGTGGGAGTCAGGAGACAGAGCCGCCTCGGCCAGGGAGGGCTGGGAGCAGAGCTCTTTTCCTAATTAGCTGTTTCCACACAGGGAACGCACGACCCAAACACAGCCACCAGCCGGGCTTTGACACACACAGGCCCAAAGGGGGAGGGGGCTTTTGTCTGCCGCAAATTCTTTCAACTTGCTTGTCACCCCATGCCGCACCACTCAGCAATGCGCCAGAGGAGCGGGGCCGTTTCAGATGGTCTGCCAAGCGGACTGGGAGACAGGTATTATTTTCAGCCCATTCGAGGCTGAAAAATACTGTAAAAGTGAAATCAGGTTAATCTTGTTCTCTCTATCCTTTTCTAAAGGATTTGACTTATTTCCGCATTTGCCCAAGGTTCCAACATATTCTAAAATAAACACATTACAAGGAGCAATAGTCCTCGGAAACAAACTCACTCCTTTCATCATGCCCAGCTGTTCTACTTGGTCAAAGGACTTGCAAAGAACACTGCTGCGGAGGGAATCACTTTCTCTGTGTGTGAGGAGGTCAGTTTACCAACCAGCAAGATGAAGACTGAGGGATAAAACCAGGAATGGGCGCCCCCTTGGCACACGTGTCCATGTGTGTGAGGCTGAGTCTTTGATTTGGAGGCGAAGGAGAAACTTCTCAAATCTTTCCGACTGTCCCTTCAGTGATGGCCTGTCGCGCGAATGGCTTTTGTGGAGCCAGAGGCCACAGGAGCTGCTGCTGACCGTGCCGACCTGGGGTCCTCAGTGCTGCACAGCCCAGGTAGCCGGCAATGCGCACTTCCTCTGCAGCCGTGGGACAGGCGGCTTCAGAGGACTTTGAGCACCGAGATGAAAGGAATCCGCAACAAAACACCTCTTAGAGTGGACAAACACAGTCTTTCAGGAACGGGCTCTTTAGGAAAAGCAGGGCTCCTGTGTTTCGCCACAGTGCCATTGGGAGCCAGGGACAAGACCACAGAAAGGGAGAGGGACAGGCGCCACGGCTAGCCCAGGGCAGAGCCAGTGCTGACCGGCCTAACTGGAGAGGATGAGAAATGAAACCACGGCTCCACTTGTAAGTACAAGGGGTCTGAAGCAACTGCCCAGAAAACTCACCAACAGCCCTTTGCCAAAACCCGGGGAAATGGAGGCCCGCATGTTCTGGGTTTTGAATGTGCAGATAATGCCTTCAAGTCCCCTCTTCCCTCTGGTCAGGATGACCTGCACTCCATACGTATTTGGTTCATTTTTGTTTTGGTTTTTCTTTTTGGTACCGGGGATCGAACTTGGGACCTTGTGATTTTGAGGCAGGCAGTGGCACAACTGAGGTAAATCCCCACCCTGTTTTGGTTTTTTGAGACAGGATCACGCTGTGTGGTCCAGGCTGGCCTTGAACTCACTAGGTAGCCCAGGTTGGTCTCAGAGTCGCTGGGATCCTCCCTTCTCAGCCTCCCGAGTGCTGGGATTCTAGGTCATGCCTGGCTTCGACCCACACTCGGTTCTTTGAAACATAGACCCCTGCACCTTCCAGTGGCGCTAGGGTGCTGCCGAGGTAGCCCCTCTGAGAAGTTGGCCCTGTTGATCCAGAAAGCCTCGGATGAGGAATTGGGGCCAGCTGCTCCCACAGGTGATGAAAATCCAAGCAGGACAAAAGAGAAAACAATGCAAAAGCCCTCTTCTAAGGGTTGAAAGAGATCGAGATCGCATTTTAAAGAAATAGTAACCAGGTGTGGTGCACGCCTGTAATCCCAGCACTCAGGAGGCTGGGGCAGGAGGATCAACCTGAGTTCCAGGCCAGCCTGGGCTACATAGCCAGAGCCTGTCTCAAAAAAAAAAAATTGCTAAGAAATAGAAATAAAAATTCAAACGTCAACCATTGGAAAAATGAAAAACGAAGAGGCTGTCCATGGGGCCACGTGCAGATGCTGACACTGAGAGACGTCCTCGCGCCGCCCCGCAAGTCCGCAGGGAGGGGACCAAGCACGCCGCTGAGGCGACACACCGCTCGCCGAGCCTGGGCGCTCAGGCCGGCCTGCGCATGCGCACCTCGGTCTCTGACGGCGCTCGCGTCCCGTCTCCCCCCCCCCCCCGCCCCGCGTCCCCGTGCGCAGGCCAAGCGCGCCAGGCAGCAGGGCTGGGGCGGCCTTACCGAAGCTGGGCGCGCTGTGCAAGGTCATGTCCCGGATCACCCTGGTGCCGAAGCAGGACCACATCAGGAGGAACTGCTGGGCCACCTTCCTCAGCGACCCTTGTCTCTTGGCGGCCACCTGCAAGAGAGCGGCTTTGATAAGGCCGACTCTCACTTACTACTGGCTCTCTGACGACCGACGGGAAGGCTCAGGAGTCCCTGAGTTCAGTACCATAGCAATGGTTTGGACTTCTTGTTCGTAGCAGCAGAAATACACTTCACATGTTCATAGCGGCACAACTCATAATAGCTAAACCATGGAACCCCATCAAAAGACAAATGGATAAAAAATATGTAGTATTTACGTGGAGTACTGCTCTGCCATAAAGAAGGATAAACTGGAGTCATCTGTAGGAAAATGGATGCCCCTTGAGACCATAATGGTAAGCGAAATAAATCAGACCCACAAGCTTAAATATTGCATGATTTCTCTTACATGAGAAACCCAAAGAATAAATAAAGAGCCAATAAAAATGAGATAATAGGAAATATGGAGACCTTTTACAAATGGAAGGAGATCAATAGACGGAGAGAGGGGAGGGAGGGGACATAAAAAGAATCGGGATGTGTTAGCTACGTGCAGCGACTCCACACAAGGAATGAAAACATCATGTATGGCAAACATGGACTAAAATACATGACATAAAATCTTATGCCAACAATTTATGCACCTGGTAGATAAAAGAGCTGCCGAGCTGGGGCACCAGGGAAGCCTGAGCCCCCTGCTCCTCCGCCCTCCACCCCTGCTCCCTGGGGCCAGCTCACCCACCTTCACGACGCAGCGGTCCACCATGGTGTCCAGCCACTCGATGTAGGCCTCAATGGGCGACTGCTCCTCCAGCAGGTGGTCGAACTCCTGGTACACTGTCAAAGAGCAGACCGCACGCATGAGTGCCGCTGTGTGGGACAGAGCTGCGTCTTGAAGACAATCACAACTCTGGACCAATGGAACCTCAAGGTCTGGCCAGGGCACTATGGGTTTTAAAGTCCAAACTGCACTTCAGCCTTCCGGGGATGCCGTGGGGTTATTTCCAGGCCCCCAGTGCACCCTCCACATCCTCCTTTCCTACAGCCTCAGTCGATTCTCTGAACCCCCCTGCACCCCTTGCCAACCCTGCTTCAGCCCCACGCCCTCCCAGTGCACCGCAAGCTGCCCTTGACCTGTTTGGGGTCCCCTTGCTAGATTCGTGACACTTTCACTGCCTCACGGGTTCCCCAGGAGGCAGCTGTCACTGAGCAAGTGCCTGCTTGGATCAAGGGGCAGAGGCCCCGCTGCCCACACTCTCTGCTTCCTCTGGGCCAAGGTTTCTGGGCCACACAATTGGGCAAGTAGCGCGGGCCTCTGGGGCTCCTCAGGGCGTGGGTGCTCAGCAGCTGTGCACAGAGGGGATGGCCACACCCTGTCCTGGCTCCCTCTCAGCACGGAGCCCGGACCCTCTTTGTAACCAGGGGACTTTAGGGACAGACATCTCTTTTCATTATGTTTTTGTGTTCAAAGGTTTCACAGCTAGTGAAGAGCAGAGGTGTGACTCAGACATGGCCTGACTCAGCCAGGAGCTCCTCACGACTCCTCTGCCCCAGCACTGGCATGTGGCCCTCTGCATTATCCCCGAGGTCACAGTGCACTGGGGCGCAGGTCCGAATCCAGTTCTGTGGTGCACACCAGCCCCATGCTGCCATCAAGGACCCTTCCCACGCATTCTGACTGCCTCCACAGGGAGCCGTGTCCACGAGGCAAATGTGAGGCAAGCAGAGCACCCCGAGGTGGCACCAGTGTCATGGATGCACGGTGAGCACCCAGCAGGAACTGGCCGATGCCAGGAGGGCTTGGGGTGGAGAGCCCCAGAAGATAGCAATTTCCAACCCTGACGTACGTATCCTGCAAATCTGCCCTTTAAAATTGATGGAGAAATAGATATTTCCATGACAAGGAGCATCTCAAGAAATTCATGACCACCAAACAAGCATTATGAAAAATTCTCAAGAAAGAGACAATGAAGCCAACAATGTCAGTAAGTCAAACAGAACGAATATACCTGTTGGGCCAAGCTGTTAAGCAAAAAGGAGAAAATAAGGAAATCAGCAATGGGAAAATAATGCAATGATAGGAACAAATCAGCAATAACTCTCAATGTGAATGGTCTCAATTCTCCAATCAAAAGATACAGATTGGCAGAATGGATCAAAAATAAAACCCACAGAGCCGGGGATTTAGCTCAGTGGTGCCGCTGCCTGCCTCACAAGTGCAAGGTTCCGAGTTTGATCCCCGGTACCAAAAAGAAATAAAATAAAATAAAATCCACAGTGTATAGCATACAAGAAACACATTTAATTTTAAAAGATATAGATGGAAAACAATATCCCATGCAGTGGCAACCCAGAGAAAAGCAGGAGTTCGTTCCCTAATTTCAGACAAGCTAAGACTGACCAGAAGAGACAAAGAAGGTCACTAGATATTGGGGAAGGGAACAATTCAACAGGAAGAGTTAAGAATTATAAACATACATGCATCAAGTACCAGCGCACCTAACTTCAGAAAACAAACACTAATGGACACGAAAAATCAGATAAACAACAACACAATAGGACAGTGGACCTCGGTTCACAAACTCAATGCTTTACCACAGTTCTGGTTTCAAAATGAACTGGACGAGAACCACATCAAATTCAGTGGTTATGTTCAGTGTTGATCTTATAAAGAAATTTGATTTCGTTCTTGTCCAGTTCAGTTAGCAATCAGAATAGTGGGAAGAATTAAGTTCATACTGAGGTACCACGGTAATGGAGGACCCTCCATACCCCATCGTCAGAAATTGACAGACCACCCAGACAAAAAAATCAACAAAGAAATATCAGAGTTGAACCAAACCTTCAAACAAATGAACTTAGTAGACATCTACAGAGTGCTTCATCCAACAACAACAGAATATATATTCTTCTCAGCAGCACATGGGACTTTCACTAAAATAAGCCACAGACCAGCCGTTAGCATGCTAAAGTAAGTGCAAAAAAAATCAAAATTATCCCATGCATATTATCAGATCATAGTGCAATGAAACTAGAAATCAATGGCAAAAGAAACTACATAAACTATGGAAAGTAAACAATACTTTCTTAAATAATCAATGGGTCACAGATGAAATTAAAGAAGAAATTAAACAGTTTCCACAATAAAATAATAATGCCAGTATGGCATACTAATACCTATGGGATGCAATGAAAGCAGGCCTAAGAGGGAAGTTAATAGCAGTGAATTCCCATATCAGAAAAACAGGATGAGCTCAAATAAATAACCCAATGATGCACTTCAAGGTCCTAGAAAAACAAGAACAATCCAAACCCAAAGCCAGTACAAGGAAGGAAATTATAAAGCTCAGGACACAGCAAAGGAAACCACTAACACAGGGAAGGGACAACCTACAGAACGGGAAAAAAAGTTGCCAGCTGTTCCTCAGACAAAGGACTAATATCTAGACTATAAGGAACTGAAGGAAATTAGACCTTCAAATTTAAAGACCCAATTAAAAACTGGACATCTGAAATGAAGAGATGAAGAAATACAAAAGGTCAATAAGCACATGAGAAAGTGTTCGACATCACTGGCTATTCAAGAAACGTAAATTAAACAACACAGATTCCATCTCACCCCAGAGAGAATGAGTACCATCAAGAAATCAACCAATAACACATGCTGCTGAGGCTGCAGGGAGAAAGGAACCCTTCTCCATTGTTGGTGGGAGTGTGGACTGATACAACTACTATGGAAATCAGTATGGAGATTCCTCAAAAAACTAAAAGTAGAAATTGTTTGACCCAGCCATTGCCCTTCTAGGTGTCTTCCCAAAAAAGTTAAAGACGTGACATCACAGTGACGTGTGCACATCCATACAGCAGCAGAACTCACAATAGCTAAATCTTGAAAATAGCCTGTATGCCCATCAACAGATAAGTGGATTTTTAAATGTGGTATTTATACACAATGGACCATTACTCTGCCATAAAAAGGATAAACTTGAGTCATTTGTAGGAAAATGGATGCACCTTGAGACCATAATGTTAAGTGAAATAACTCAGACACACAAACTTAAATATCACATGGTTTCTTATATATGAAACTCTCTCTCTCTCTACATATATATATATATATATATATATATATATATATAAAGTACAAAATAAAAGACAGATAATAGGATAAAAAAGAAAGGAAAAAAAGGTACTGTAATCCAGTGCGGACAATGTAGCTAAAAGTGTGCTTTGACTTACTACAATTGTCTTAACATGTTTGAAATGTTCTTTGACCTATTAGTCTGGTTTTCAATCTGTATATATGATAATTAACTTTATAAGGTCTTATGAGATAAGTGAATCTGATGCTGGAAAAACAAAAGGGGGGTGGATGGGGTAGGGAAAAAGAAGGGAATTGAAATGTGCTATGGATGTACCGATCCCCTGCAGTGAATGCAATCACCATGTACTGCAGACACGTACTAACAGTTACAAAGAAAAAAAGAAAACAACAAACCTCTATCTCAAGAATAAAAAAATCAAAGGCACTGGCCATGTGCCAGCCATGTGCCAGCCATCAGAAGGAAGCGAGGGAGCGGCCCCCAGCCCTGCTCCATGGTCCAGGGACTCCCAGCTGCCCGTGGGAGGCGTGGGTGACACCCTTTCCACAGTCCCCTTCCTGTCCCTGGGCATGACGCCCTGTTATTTGTAAGCCTCGTGCTCATCTTCCCACTTGTCCATAACCCCAGCACCACGTGGATGGACACTCGCTGCTCTGTCCAGGAAGGCACTCAGTAGGCACCAGCAGGGTCAGTGGAACGCGTCCCTGCCTCCCGCAGGGAGAGGACAAATCTCAGCCTCCTGCAGCGGCCACCACAGGTGCAGAGCCTGGGCCCTCCAGGAACTCTCTGGATTGTATTTTCCCCAGAGTCTCCTTTCTCCTGCCCATGAAAGGCGGAGGAGAAAGAGGATGGAGTGGAACACTGCTGATGGTGATGTGGTTAGGAACTCTGGTCCCCACGGACATGGACGGACACCTGCTCTGCAGCTGGCACTGGGGACATGGCAATCAGAGGGCCCGAGTGTGGTCAGGGTGACCTTCTGGGTTGGGGCCAGGAAAAGCAGACTGGGACGCCTGGTGGGGAGCTGGGGGACACATCCGGGGCCCCTGTGACTCGGCCTGGTTCTGGTGGCTGGCTGAGCCAGCCCGGCCACTTAGTGGGTCTGTGACCCCGGTGAGGCTCTAGCTCCCTGGGCCGAGTCTTTTCCTGCTCTGGTGGGCAGGACCCGGCATGGAACAGACAGTTGATAAGCCGCATTATTATCTGGGTGATCTTCCCTAAAATTCTTAGCAGGGCAAAGTGGGCTGGGGCAGCTGGGGAGGAGGGAATGGGCCTGAGCTGAGCCCCAGGAGGGGCACATGGCCAAGCCTTTCACTGTGCTGCTGGGGAGGCCCTGGAGGAAAAGGCTTCTCCAACAGGAACATCGGGGGGACGGTCACAAGCGCCATGCGCTCTGCCTGGACACCTGAGTGATTTCCCTCCAGCAGGAGTGCGGGAGGCAGGCCTGGAAGTGGGGGGCCCTCTGCAGCTCCCCAGTGTGGTCACTTGCCCCACAGGGAAGGTGCAGGAGGGGCAGCACCTGGCTTCACCACGCTCCCCACATCAGGAGGGGCCCTGTGGGTGGTGGGCAGCGGGACTTCCTCCTGCTGTTTCTCCAGGGAGCAGCCCCTGCCCGGTCAGGGTGGGGCCCGGACAGCACACCCCAGGCCGAGGGTTAGAGTGTCCGTCCACATGGACAGGCAGGAGCGGAGGCTCACAGAGGTGAGTCGCCATGCATGTCCCCTTTCCACACACTCATGGGGCTGCAGGCTTCCCGGCCAGCAGCGGGCTGGCTCATGTGAGCCTGAAACACTGCAGACTCCTGGCTGACGTAGAAGGGCGCTTGAAAACGACAGTGAATGTTTAAATTAAAAACAATTATTACAGGGAAAGACATGTTGCCACGAACCCTCCTCTCTCCAGATACACTCACCTCATCACTCTTCACTGTCTGCAGCAGCTCTGCAGTCCACTTTCATGAGTGTCTTTAGAAGGCGTGATTGAAAATACGGTGACTGCTGCTGCCTGGGGCCATCCAAAGGAAAGGCAGCTCGTAAAAACCTCAGGGTGCACACTCTCCCACCTTATTCAAGGGATGTGGCACCGTGTGACTTCTGGCTCCCTTCCCAGAGTAAAAGACGATGACAGGGAAAGGTTTTGAATCGATTCAAGGCAGCCACAACAGCACAACTGAAGACACTCAGGAAAGAAGAGCTTAGAACCAGCTCAGAGAGCGGTAAGGGTGATGGCACAAGGTGTTCAAAGTGCAGGGAGTATTTGAGGGGGATCAAGGAAGATGTGCCTTTTACTGTAGTAATCTGAAAGTAAACATTCCTCATAGTTGTCGAGTCACACCCTGTCCACTGAGACCGGCAATGAGCTAGACTGAGTTGCCATTCTTGGTGTCCCTGCCACAGAGGTCTGCCTGGCACTCGGGGTCCCACGAGGGGTCCCTGGCGCGACATCATGTGCTACCAGCTGCACCAGCAGTCGACACACGTGCTCTCAGGCAATCTGCCCTCCTGTCTGGAGGAACAATGAGAGGGACAAGATCCAGGGAGAGGGACAGGGTGGGGAAGCCACCCACACATTCGCCAAGCTACTTTCTTTCTTTTGGAAACACAGCCAGCGGAACGGGGGCCAGCCTTACGCTGGATGATGAGCTTTCGGTGCTCCTCGCGGGAGTCCTCCATGGTGTAGAGGGTCTGCTTGGTGATGCTGTTCAGGTCCACGTTCCGCCAGTCCTCCAGCATCTGGAATGTGATGTCAGCGCTGTGGATCACCGTCCGGGATGCCTACGACCCAAGCCAGTCAACTCATTAGTTAGTTCCTGGGTTGTTAGGCTAAAGGCCCTGCCCTTTCTTTCTGCCTTTTTTTTTTTTTTTTGGGATCGAACTCGGAACCTTGCGCTTGCGAGGCAGGCGGCGTAACCACTGAGCTAAATCCCCGGCCCTCTTTCTGCCTTTTTAACAGATCTGCTTCTGGGATTATGTAAACCACTATGAGAGTCAGGAAAACAGTTTCAGGACAGCAGCGGATGACGCCATAACTCAGAAGGTCCCGATGCTGCCTCTTGCTGCTGCTCTCTCCTCTGCGGGAGCCTGCAAGGTGGCCCAGGCCAGATCCGACCCTACTGTTCCCGGCCCGCCTGGCCTGGCCCCATGGGACAATGGGAGGAAGCACACGGGGCTGCCTGCTTTCTGACTAGAGCTTGGGTTGGGGCTGAGGACTTAGTTACCCACGTGTCTCTGGGGCTGGCCTGGGGATGTCCCTGCTACCACTGTACAGACAAGGGATTAACCACCAACTGTGCATTTTCACATAAATGTATCCTAAAGCATTTTAGGCCCTAGTTTTCTGTTTTTGCTTTTTTATATAATTAGGATTAAAACAAATACGAATCATTGAGATGGAGCAGAAAGGAAACTGTACCATAAGTCAGTAGTGTGTGTGTGTGTGTGTGTGTGTGCATGTGATGATCCTTTAAAGCTGCGACCTCCACCAGTAAATCCTCATTAGTGAGCCTAAATTTACAAGTTGGAAAAATAGTTGGAACAATATCACTAAGCTGAAACAAAACTGAAAAGAGCAAAGAAAAACATGTCTAGGATCATTTTTTCAAGCTATCTTTTAATAAGTAGAAAGAAGATTTAAAAGGTACAAGCGTGTTGTAAGCCTTGCAATGTTTGTGAGTGTCCAGACAAAGGTAAATTCTGACAACCCCTAGTTACACTCACATTGCCAAGCACAAGGAAAATCCTGCCTAAATAATCCCGGGACTCTCTACCATCAGAGAGGCCCAGAACACACGGGTACAGGAGCTGCACCGGCCACTCAGGATAAGGAAGACAACTGAATGTGACGCCTGCGTGTTCTGGATTCAGACACATCCTGGCGTTGCCGGGGACTAGAGTTGATTTGGGGCAGCCAAGCAGAGAGCCTCCGTTTCCTGAGGCGTCACAGTGCCTGCTGCTTGTTGATAGCTCCTTGTGATAATGTTTGAAAAGCACAGAGCCTAGGTACAGGAGCCGGGACCGTAGTGTGACGTGAAATTAACCAGACATACAAGCTTCAACATCACAGGGTTCCTCTTACAGGAGAAACCCAAAGTATGGATAAATAAAATAGCAAAGTAAAAGATAGATAACAGGAAGAAGGGAGACAGCTGGAGGGAGGGGGAGGGGAGGCGAGAAGAGGGGGTGTAGAATTAAGACGCATTGTGCGCACGCACCAACCCCCTCCCCATGGCAAGTGCAATCATCATGCAATACAAACATGGACCAATAAAGAGAAAACATTTACAAAGTGGCCACTGTGGTCCCCCGGCGGTAGCCGCTGGACCGTTCTCTTCCCACCCGCCCCAGCAGCACCTGCCTGTACCCCGGGCGTACGGGACACCCGAGGGGCCTTCTCAGGCCACGTTAGGTACCCAGGATATGCAGCTTTGTGCCTGCTTGTTCCCGTTTCTACTCTGTTTCCTTCATAACTTTAATTCACTTCTGGTTTACTTTCTCTTTTCCGCTGAGGGCAGACACCGCTGAGACAGTCTGGGCCCGCGGCGGGCTTTCGGGAGAGTTGGGCCACGTGACCCTTGCGGCTGCGCATTTAGGGTCGGTCTTGGCTTTCGTCTAGCCCGACTTGCCATGTGTGCGTGTGTCTTCTCCGGCACTACCTGACCCCTGTCCTCTGGCCAGTCGGTGAAGGTGTCTGAGGTCCGTCCGGTGACACGGAAAGGTGGGCGGCATTTGCCAATCAAATTCCATGTGTGCAGAGTGTGCAGTGGAGAGGGGATGTGCGCACGCGCACGCGAGCGCCCAGTGCAGCCCGCAGGTGTGGGCATGGGTGTGGACACACTGCCCACACGTGTACCAAAGAAGCAGAGTCCTAACTAAACTCCCTGAGGCCCGGAGGAGGCACCAAAGCCGCATCCCTGTTCCTGATGAGACCTACGGCTGGCGTAGCAGAGGACGGGTTCAGTTTCTTCCCGGAGTCCCAGAGCAACGTCACCCAGGTAACGGCTCCGGGGCGGCTGGCGGGACTCTGGACAGGCTGCCCTGCATCCCCGCACTGTTCCCTCATGGTCATTTCCTACTTCCCGGATTCAGGCCACTGCAGCCAGAAACCCCCGACCCTGACCTCGGGTGACCAGCAGCCACCCGGGCCCAGCCCGGCTCACTGGAGGGTCAAAAACCTAAACACAGAAGGGCAGGCGGGCGGGCCCAGGGCCAGCTCCAAGACAGGAGCGCTGGCGAGGAGGGGACGGTGCCCGCCCACCGAGAGCCTCAGCCCGGCCGGCTGACTGCTGCCCAGGTAGACACGGCTCTGGGCCAGCTGCCAGCTCCTCAAAGGAGTCTACACAAACGTTGGGTGTCTGGCTGTCCTCTCCCCATTGCAATTGTTAGTGACCAGGTGGGAAAAAACGTTTCTGACGCATGCACATCAAACAATCTCATATGCCGGAGGGCCAGATGTGGCCAGTGGCTCCCAGTTAGGCAGTGATGGCTGGGGCCCTTGGCCCTGGGGTGTCATGGGAGTGGGGTGCCTTCCTGGACTTAGATTCCCTTCATCAAGGGGAAATGAACAGCAAGGCAGTTCTGCATCGATTGGCAGGGGGCAGGGTCTTCCATTCTTAGTTTAGACATTTTCATGTTTAATTTCTTTCTTGTTTTGGTACCGAGGGTTGAACTCAGGACCTTGCATTTGCTAGGCGGGCACGGTGCCACTGAGCTACATCCCCGGCCCTTCATGTTTAATTTCTTACAGTAAGCACATATTACTTTTATGCTAAAAATTAATGCAGATCTGGAAAAGTGAAACGAAGTTACGCAAATATTTCATGTACAATATGGCTTAGACGCCTTTGAACGGCACTTTATAAACAAACCGTCCTGTTTGTCTGTTTGACTCTTGGACTCAGTGGCCAGGGCCAGGGCGACTCCGCTTCCTGGCTGGGCCGCTGTTCTTGGTGTCACTCAGGGGTTGGGGTGACTGCTGGCATCAAGCGGGCAGAGGCCAGGCACTGGGCAAACAATGCTGCAGAACAGGGAATTCTGCACCCTAAATGCCAACAGCCATGAACCAGCTCCGATTTAAGGGAAACAGGAAAGTGTGAATCTAAAAGGTTTAGAGACAACCAAAGTCAGAAATGATTTTGCATGTAGGTTGGAACTGTTGTACCTGGCTAGCATTTTTTTTTTTAATTTTTTTTTTCTGGCTAGCATTTTAATTCCTCATCTGTAGGAACTGTGAATCATGGAGAGCCGAGAGCAGGGCCCAAGGGATGACAGGACAGACGCCCCAGGCAGGTGTTCCTGTGGACACCCTCCTCCCGGCCCCGGGGACAGGACAGTGACAGACACATGACAGACACAGAGGGCAGCTACCTGGCAAAGGTGATTGAGCGATGTTTGCCGTCTCAGGATTTGGGAAAACCTCCTGGACACTGCAAGTGGAAAGGGGCGGAAGCATTAGTGTGCTTAAGATCCAAGGTTGGGTCCAAGAGTAACTTGCCTCCTTGGCCTACACGGCCACTCCCACTGTACATCCCCCCCCCCCCCCCCTGCTGCCTTTGACTCTTTGTTCTCCCTTTTGGGCTTCAACAACGCTTTCCTCCTGGTGATCCTTGGGGTACAGATTTCAAAGTCACAAACTTGCCACACTCGCAGGTGTGAGAAATGGTGGCGTCGATCAACCGTGAGTAAAAACAATTATTTACGTGTCTTTCATTTCGCTAATTGCAAGCTCCATCAGTTCTCCTCATAAATAATTGCAGGAATCAAATGGCCGCTTTGAAGACGTCCCTGCTCAACAGTAGTATGTTTAATAGGAAATCTTGACTGAGCCTCGGGCACACGGCGGGACTGGGCCTTCCAGGATGGAGCCCGAGCGGTGCCTTGAATTCAGCTTTGACGATCTGCCTGGCCTGGTGCACCGTCACCAAAGTGATGATCTCTGCCTTCAGGAAGAGCTCTTGCTTCCCTCGCCAACGCAGCAGCGGGTGGGCTGAAGGGGGGGATCTTCTACCTAATTCTGCAGCAGACAGGGCCCGTGCCTGCTGTCCGTGCTGTGGTACAGCCTCCAGCTGCACTGCGGCTCCCTGGGAAGAGCTGCTTCCTCGGCCTGGCTCGCACAGGTGGAAGGGCCAGCACAGCGACTTTGAACCGGCTTGCTTTGTCAGCGTAATTAAAACAGGCACGGGGCATTCTTCTCATTAATTTCTAAACTGGTCAAGAAATAGAAACTTCCCCAGGCTTATCCTCATTTGTGCTCTGAGCTGGCTTGGTTTGAAAAATAGGGTGTAGGGTGGAGGAATGGGGCTGGGGGGTGGACAGATGAACTTCTAATTTTCCAGGCCAATCAATCGTTAATCCTGCTCCTTAATTACTTTTTCTTTAACTTTGTGATGTGGAATTTAGTGCTGGAGAAAAGAAAAGAACTGAGAGCCGTGAAATAAAGCGGGCTTTATCAATAGGTGATGGGCACCGCAGGCGTCCTCAGAGTGCGGCTGAAAGACCTTCTGCGCCCGCAGAGAGAGGGTAATTTGATCGCCTTCATTTTCCTCACTGGCACTTATTTCAGGCAAGAATAGCAAGCTGTATTCAAATGGGGCTTTGAGAAACATATTTTAAAACCTTATTTTGCTTAAAATCATTTCACCTGTGCTTAATTTAACGGCAACACATGAACTGCGCCCGAGTCCCCACACGCACAGATGTGGGGAGACGGGGAATAAGCTGGTTTCCTCTGGCACAGCCATGCCAGGAGACGGAGCTGGTCCCTGCAAAGACACGGTCCACAGCCCCAGGCCCTTTTATGAGAAATATTAATGTGGCTTTCTAATTAGGCAGAGGGTCGGCCCTGCTGTGGCAGGAGCCTATGGGTATCTCAGAGCTTTGAGGTCGCACAGGCCTGGGGTTCATGCGCGGCCTCTCCATCCCAGCCACATGGCTTTGTGGCTTTGGGGCTTTGGGGCGCTTTCTCAGCCTTCGAGAGCCTTGTCTTAGAACAGGGACTGTTTCCTACACTGCAGAGGTGGAGAGGAGCAGAAATTGGCAGCAGACAGAGCCTGGGGGTAAAGCCTCTCTCTGCTGCTTGCTATTTTCTTAGCCAGAGTTCCTTGCCTCCAGACAGCCCTGTGCCTCCCTCATAAACATCCTACAGGGTGCAGTAAGCTCAGCACACAGAGCACTTAGCATGCACACCGACGCTCTGCAGGGCAGCACGTGCTAGCTGCTGTTACCCCATTAACGACCCATGTGAAATGCGCTGCCAGACTGTTACTCTCCCTCCCCTCCTCTCCCAAACTCCTACTTACATTCAAATTTGATGTTTCGCAAATTTTCTGGGAGGTTGTGCAGGGCCACCTTCAGCCACTCATCCAGCTGCTTGGCAAACTTCCGGATCACCTGCGTCAGGCTGGAGAGAGAAGGTTCACCTGAGGCGCCTGTATCGTGTGCTCGCCCCGGAGGCTCCCAGGCTTTGCCTCCTTCACTCAGGTTTCAGCCACTACCCTCTGTGCTGTCCGTCCCTAGAGGTGCTGGGACAGGGCCCGCAGCCCGGCCTTGCTGAGAGCTCGCGGGCCTGGGAAGGGGCTGATGGGCACCAACACTGGTCCACGATGCTGGTGGTAGGAAAGCCGCTGCCAGGCGAGGTGGTGCCAGGGTGCTTTCTGCCAGCACACAGTGCCCCTTGGCATCTTAGAAGAGCCTTGTGCTCAGGTGCAGACAGAGGCTGGGGCCACGGAAGGGTGCTTGGCAGGCACCTCCCCTCCCATGCTGCTGCACGAAGCCCACACTGGCAAGGAGCTGCTGCTGGGCCTGGAGACTGGGTCTGAGCGTGGGAGGGGAGGTGCACTGGGGGTGCTAGGCTGCCGTGGGAGGTAAGGCCTCCTGCTCACAGTCCTGGGACCAGGGTCCCCCTCAGTGCTGCTGGACCAGGGGCCTCACCTCATCCCCACGTGGGTCACCCACCCCACCCACCTCTGCCCTCAGCCCACGAGTCCACCGTGCCCTGTGCAGCCTTCCAGTGCCTCTCCTGCCAGGCTACGACTGCACCTCACCCCCAGGGCAATGGCTGCCACGGGGCATCCCTGTCCCCTGCCCTTCTGGTGACGAACTCCGACCTCACCTCACCCCCAATGCCCACAAAGCCCAGAGAAAGTGGTCAGCAGGGTGATCAGCACCCTGCTCCTGGCACGGACCCTCCACCTCCTCCCATACAGCCTGCATCTCCCTCTGGATGGGAACAGCCTGCACATCCTTTTAACCCACCCAGCACTGACTCAGTTTAAAAGATGAAATATAATCTCTGACTTGCTCAGCTCTGCCTCAAGCTACTGCCCAGCAGAGCTGTCCACGCCCTCTGACTCCTTCCCTCCTTCCAGTCACTCCTCGCCACACTCCTGCGTGACACCGACTGTCACGCAGGCCTCAGCTGCTGACAAGGCCGCAAACCTTCGGGACTCGCTCTGACGGCATCTCGAGGGACACTGTGCAGTGCTCATCCGGCCTTGCAAAGCCCTGGCCCCCTCCGCCCATCTGTGACCCTAGGTCCCCTGGGTGTTCCTGATCAGAGCCCCTTACCCTGGGCCCAGCTGGTGCATCTCCTGGTTCTCTTCCCTGCCCTGCTCGGTGATTTCTGTACACCTCAGGCACAGGGGTCTGCATGGCCTTGGGCCACTGCACCTGCAATCCCTCGATCAGAGGGGCATCAGACCCAGCAGGTCCCCAACAGACTCCTCGATCCCCCCAGCCCTGGTTCTTCAAAATTTCAGAGTGCATCTCTACTTTGCATGAAGTTTCCATGGTTAATTATGAAAAGGTTCAGACATATCTCAAATGGGGCAATAAAACAAACCTCACGCCCCAGCTGTAACAATGAGGCACATTGGCCAGTGGGTCACATGCCGCCTTTTCTTTCAGGGTATTTAAAAGCAAACCCATGATGTCATTCACCCCGAAAGCTTAGTGTGTGTTTCTGACAAGGTTTAAATATGTGCGTGTATGTGCACACACACACACGCACACGTGTGCATGCACTGACCTAGCCATCAGTGCACCTACAGAATGAGCAGTGAGTCCCTAGCATCATTAGAGCCCAGGCTGTATTCAGATTTCTCCATTTCTCTCAGAGCCAGCTTGTTTGAATCAGAATCCAAACAAGGTCCACATATTCCATGCAAGATTGCATTGCCTTTTAAAATCTTCTGAAATCTTTTGTATTGTATTTTGTGCCATTGAGTTATTGGCGACCTGGTGTTGTTTGCTGCTAGGAGGTCCCACGCTCGGATGTGGTCGGTTTCTTCCTGTTGAGTCAGTTGGTCTGCTCATCCATCGCGTGTTCTCCCTGCTGGAGCTAAAGACTGGATTAACCCCATTACAGACTTTAAGGCTCGCAGGTTATGTCGGGAGCCACTGTGCTGCTGCTGTATCAGAGCGCCGGGATTATAGTCTCTTTGCTCCCCTTATCAACGCGTGCAGTAAACACCCCTTGTGTCTCTTGTCCCATAGCTGAGGACTGCAGACTTTACCTCCCGGGACCCTCACCGCAGCATCGACCTACACCCCTAATAGCCCACCGCGGTGCTGATTGGTTCATCCTCCATCCTGAGGCCTCGCCTGCTCACTCACGGTGAGGATGAAGCTGGGGCGACGGCTGTGTCACTTACCGCTGTGCCCTCAGCACTCAGCGCGGCAGGCAGGACAGAAGGGTCTGCTGAATGGAATGAACGAACCCACGAAGGGACGGCTCCCAATCCCAGACCTCAGGCAGAGTCCCCGGAGGTCCAGGCTGTCCCCCCACCCCGTCCATCTGCGGCTGCGGCTTCTCCCTCTGCAGCCCTACGGCACTGACCGCTCTTCGCACGCCGGCCCTGGCCCACTTCACCGGGGCCTTTGCATTTGCCCTTCCCGCTGCCGGGAGAGCCCTTGCCCTGGAGAGCAACAGCACTGTCTCCCTCTCCAGGCGGCCCCCTCTCAGCTGCCTCAGCATTCCCACCTCTGCCACAGGATTGAAAGAGGTCCCCTTGGCTCCCGTGACGAGGACGGGTGCTGGAGGAGCCGGGATGGCGCCGTGACAGTGGAACGGAGGTGTGCACTGTCAGAGAAGGACGGCGGTGCCGCCAGTGGGGTCCCCTGGCGACTGGATGTGCACTGAGGACAGTGAAGGGGTCTTCCAGAAAGCAAGGGGGGCCGAGCAGGGGCCTGCTCATAGGGGTCTCTGTGTGTGGCAGGGGGCAAAGCTGAAAACAGTCCCTGTTAGTCACACACCAGACCCACTTTCTAAGTGAGACGACTTCCCAGGATGTTTGGCTGCTCTGGACAGATGCCAAACATTTAGAGACCTCTGGCGATGGCCGGGTGGCAGGGGGCTTGTCTCTCTCCACTGGTACAGGGGGCCGGCCATCGCTGGCACACAGCCGGAGCAGTGGAGAGCCAGCGGCTAGGCCGTGGATGGGCCTTTCACTTCCTGCAATTGTTCGTTTTTATTAAGTTGAAGAAAAGCAAGGAAGGACTCAGGCCAGAGGAGAATCTATTCTAGGACCTGGAATGCGGGCCTGTTGTCCGTTAGCGGGGTCTGAACGTTCAGGCTCTTTCGCTGTGGTGTCACCACTCCCTAAGCGCCGGGTCTGAGGGCCCCTCCTAGGAGCTGGGCTGTGCCACCCCCTGCAGCACTTGCTGAGGCTGTCACCCCCTGGCCGTCCCTTTCTGCATGGGGTTCATGTCTCCCTCAGCCAGCCTCTCTCTCTGAGCTCGCCCCCAGGCTGGGGCTCTGGGGGCCCGCACTTCTAGAGACAGCTGTTCCTCCCTAGCGTGAGCTCTTGAGCGACATCTTAACTCTGCAGCCTCCAGCTGCAAGGCCACAGCAGCAGCAAGGCGGCAAGGGCAGTCACCTGTTAACAAGCACTGAGCACCTCAGGCGCACTTCCTGTTTAATCCTCACTCCTCCCTAGAAGTGAGCACTGTGTCAGCTCCCACAGAGAGGTGATAGCTGAGCCCCAGGGAAGTTCTTTTCTTCATCCAAGGAGATGTGGCCAGATAGCTCGGCCAGGGTTCGAGCCGGGGTGTGTCTGACTCTTGGCTGGGTCTCAGCTGGTGGAAACACCCGTGCCTCGCTGTGCCCGGGTAGATACCTCCTTCCCTGTCTCCACCCACAGCCTTCTGCTTCTTGATGCGGTTCCTTCAACATCTCAGGCCTGGTCCTCAGTGCCTCCTCTTTTGACATCTTGTCCTTCTTAGTTCTGCTAAAGTAATTACTGCTAACCGCCACTGTCCCAGGATCACTCGGAAGAGGGGAAGTGTCCATGTCTGAGAATGAGCTACGGTTTCTACGAGTCAACTCTGCCTCTGTGATGTCAGTGAAAGCGTCACCGATTCGCCTACATTTCAGTGTGCTTTTCAGTGCGGGACAGGAGGGAGATCTGAGCTGGGCTCCAGCCTGGCCAGGGCTGGGAGAGAGGGCACCGAATGGTCGCCACCCTCACTCCCATTCTGACCATGCCCAGGGCCAGCACACGATGGCACTCAGGCTGCTGAGGAATGAACGGATGTGGGAAACCACAGAGCACCAGCTGTCAGGTGGACCTAGGTCTTCGGAATTACTTTGTCCTCCTGATTAATGGAATGACACTGGATTTGTGAGTCTGGGATCACATTGCTAATCATTTAACCATGGAATTAAAGTAACGAATCTCGTGGGAGACTGTAGGCTCAGTAGGGGCAGCAAACATGTTTCTATTATTTAATGGTGTATTCCAGGGCTGCCCCGGTGCCTAATACAGTGCAGTAATCAATAAACGTTTGAGTAATAAATGAACAAATATTTGAGTCCTGGGTGTTTTTTGGTTGCAGGTCAAGGTTAATAAGTCATTTCAGCTCTTGAGCTTTGCCTTCCACATGTGTTTGGATTAAATCTTCCATCTTGCTAGTTGTTTCCTATTTCCAGGCAGGGGCTAAGTTCCATTTGTACATCACAAACTGCTTCATAACAAATTGCAAATGCGGTGTGTGTAAAACACCTACAAAGCAGTGTTATAAGTAAGTGAAACATTTCTCATACACACTAAAGCGAGCAAAGAACTTGCTCTCAAGAGGCCCAGGAATCAGTATAACCAGACTATCAAACGGGGAATTTACAGCAAAGACAATTAATATGGTCAACAATAATACTGCATATCCCTAATGGAAAAGCTACAGAGCATGAACAGATGAAGACTCTCAACACAGGAATTATTTTTAAAAGAATCAAATGAAAGGTTAGATATAAATATAAAATCAAAATATGGAGATAGACTTATAGAATACCGTCAACAGTCTCATCATGGGTCCACCCCAGGGAGGGTCAGCGAACCCGAAGACAGGCCAATAAAATTACCCAGTCAAGCTCAGAGAAAAATAAGCGGAAGAAGAAAGACAGAG